GGACTTCTTCAGAGAGAGACAGCGAGCTGCTGTCGGGTCTGGCAGAGGAATCTTTTTAAGTTGGTGATTTTTTTTTGGAAGCTGAATGGGGTGATTTCGGACTTGGATACTGGACTTGCCACGAGCTTCTGGTGAGTCATGCAGTCATGCGATGCCTGTTTGCCAAGGGTGCCGTTGGTTGCGAGCCAGTGGGCTGAAATGAGCCATACAGTTGCCAGTTTGGTGTTCGTTGGCTTTAGCTTTAGCTGCTTGCGAAGATGGGTTTCTTTTACACCACCCAGGTGACCTTAGATGGCATCTTATTCTTGCTGCTGGCCTTTGTTATGGACTTGGTGGAGCTCTCAGCTGATCCGAAATCTCATCAGATCCCTCAGACCCACAGTCACTGCACCAGGTAGCGGCATCTACGTCAGCGTCGATTACGTCAGAAACTGAGAACAGTTGGCCACGCCATGATGCTCTCAAAAGTAGGACCCGACGACTGGCCCTTTTGAGCAGCAGCCACCGTGTTTGTTCTGTGCACGCGCATTCCGGAAGAATGCATTTGGACAAGTTGAGGCCCCTGTCAACTGAGTCCTCAATGACACCAGTCCCTTAAGCAGCCCGCCTCGCCCGCCTCAAGCCTCAAAGAAGAAACCGCATGGCCAGCTAGCTGGTGTGATTCCACACCCCAGCCTTGGAGCACAATTTCGAGAACTCCCACCCTAACCCCCTAACCCTCAACCCAGAAGGGACACCCGCCAAGCAAGCCCTGAATTAAAAATCCCCAACGAGGCCTTGGCCTTGGATTGCTTACCACAAGGGAAGACCACCGCGGAGTCCTTTGGCCTTTGGGGCATCTCAGGCCGGGAAAAGGAACCTCTTACTTAGCGGGCTGCCTAGGGGGGGCGGTTTAGGGTTTAGAGGTAAGCCCCTAAAGAAAGCTCTAGGCCTCAACACTGAATTTCAGTTCGACCCTACAGCCGCCCAAACACCCCCCCCCCAAACCCTCTCCCAAACCCCCTCCAAAACACCCTAAACCCCCCCAAACCTCCGAACAAACGACTCTTTCCTGAAGGTTTCTTTGGCTCCACGGCGGGGCCGGTGATTGGCGCTTTTCTCAGCCAACAGTGGACCTTTTCATCTTGCACTTGGCCTTTGTTAAATGTTTCCGCTCCGAACCCCAAATTTGAGGTCATAACCCTGCTTCCCAAAATGTCCCACTGCCACAGCCTTTGAAAGGTGGGCTGCTCCTAGCCCGGGCACCCGGTGGTCGGGGAATTGAGGCTTGAGTGAGGCCTGTGAGATCTTGTGAGGCCTTGGGGCTCCGATTGTTCCCCCGGGTGTTGTGTTGGGATTGCCCGGAATGTCGGGGACGGCCTGGTCGTTGCATCTCCCCAGAGCTCAGGCTGTGAACCAAGTCAGTACAAGTGACATGCCGGGTGCTTAGCTGTCATAGCTTGGGATGTTGCCCCTTGTACAAAGAGTCCGTAATCGGGATTATAGTCCCCCCCCCCCCCCCCCCGATGGAGGAGCTGTTAGTGTAAGGGTGAACATCCCAAGTCATGGCTGCTGGCCACGTGACATGTTGAGTTCCGCTCTCCGTCCTCGTCCATTTCTGCGCAGAGGCACAGCAAGGTTTCGCACTACACCTACGAGGGCTACGCCATCGTTATGCTGGTGCTGGGAGACACTCACTTACTGGTTGGGCAGTTCTGCAAGCTGTGCTTGTAAAAGGGTGTGCGTACTGATCTTGTACCTGATCTTGTACCTGAGGTCTCCATGAACCTCTTTGTAGTTGCAGCCACGCATGCCATTACTGGCACCCAGTGACAATGCATGTGCTCTGTGGAAAGAAAGAGCGCGCGCATGTTGACGTGTTGATCCCACAGAATTTTCAGGCATGTGCATAGCCCTGCACCCTTGCGGCAATCAGCCTCAGGCCTCACCCGATGCTCGTCGCGAATGTAGCCGCTCGGGTAAATTTCCAGAGTCGTCTTTTCCTGCTGTGCTGATGGAACAGCTTTCGAACCGTCTTGCAATCGCATGAGCTCAAAGATGCTGCTTTCATTCGAGGACCAGTATGGGGCCGAGCACCAGTTCACGTCTTCGAAACCGGGGTCCACTGTGTGCATGGCGAAAGGAAAGCCGGATGCTTAGCGCAGGGAGCAGTGAAAGGCGGCAAGGCCCGAATGGCAAGATGCCATAGGGAGGGTGCCACTGAGGCCCATGTTTCTGTACCAGGTCCTAGACGTCGCCGCTGTGCAAAGTGGATGCCTCGGTGTTATGTTGGACCTGCTTTGGCGTGTGCCCCCCCCCCCCGGACCCCCCAGAATTAACACGGTCCACGGGATTTGATATGATTTTAATCGGGAGGAGTTTATACAAGCGTAAGCGAGACAGCGATGCCCGGCAATTGATTGTAGAGGCGCGCCGCACGGAATCTTCTTACGGCACCCGGACGATTTTGCTTGCCTAATAGAGGATCCCACCACGCACAGTCAGGGTGCCTTGAATACCCCGGCCAGATGACTTAATTCAAGGGGGCCCCTACTAAAACAGGTCCAACATTACTGATGAAGAAGACACTGGCTCGAAGCGGTTCAATGTAGAACACTCAGTCGCTCAGTGCCAATGGCCATCTGAGGAACGCTGTCCATCGCAGACTGCGTTTTGCTCTTCCTGGCCTTTGCCTGTGGATTGCAATATGCCTATTCGCTGGCTACCAGGAGGAGCCTCCGCTTCTTTTGCAAATTAGATGTAGCTCTCGGAAAGTAGAGAAATGGCAAGCTCCTTGCAAAGCGTATGCGTCCTGAAGCAGTCTGCACCTGCAGGAGAGGCAAGAAAGGTTTGTGCGCCATGCTCGGGGCCATGCTGTTGGCTTAGCGCTTTCCTATGAAACGCTCTTCGCGTGTGCCGCATGAGATTTCAGAGAGTTCTGAGAGAACCCCCCCCTGCTTCCATTAAAACATTCGAGCTCGGGACGTCCTGTGCCTGAACATGTACATTAGCAGACTACTGTCTTGAGGCTTCTTCCTTGCCTGTCCCGCAACACGAACAGGACACTGAGTTCTTGCGCTAGGGATATGACACCTAGCCTTCAGGACTGTTTGGAGAGGGGAGTGGGTGACATTAATACTCGTAGTGTGGCTTGCGTTCGATTGCCAGGCTTCTTCCATAGCCATAGCCGGTTGCTGGCTGGTTGCTGCGTCATTTCAGATTTGCCTGCTGACTTAGTTCAGGGATCGGCGAGAGCCATTTGCAGCGGTTGGAAGCCAAAGCCCTCTGTGGCAGCACCACAATGGCAGGGGCAAGCCTAACCCGACCATAAGTTGCCCCTACGATGAGGACTAGGAAGTTGGTCCACGACCGAAGCCTCTCCAGAGACGATCTCTCAGGCCTGGCATGAAAAGTAAAGGTTCCGGCTCTTCTAGGGTTTAGGGATGGGCTTTGGTACTTTTTTTAGCTTTGAATTAGTTGTAAACGCTTGCGCGCGCCGTCTCGGCGGCTGGCATAGCGCGGGGTATAGCTTGTGCATCGCAGACGAAAGAAAGCCCCTATGTCAACTTGGCGCAGCACCACAGATGGGGGGCCTGAAGGTCGGTCTCAAGGGGGGTCCCATGAGTTTTTCCAAGGAGGGTTGCGCCGGTCTTGGGTTTAGGGTTTAGGGTTTAGGGTAAAGGGTTTAGGGCTTGGGGTTTAGGGGTTTCACGGCGCCAGGTTTTCAGGGGAGTGTTCTAGAGGCCTCTCGGCTGGAAGCCGAGGCGAATGCAGGTGCCTGGCGTTCTGCAAGCCAATGAATTTGAACCAGAGGGGGTGTTCATTTTACAGTACAAGGTTGCTTCGGTTATAGATTGTCAAGAGGGGTCCCGATTTATGAACTGTAAGGTCCTTGGGGTAGGGCATGTTGGGCTCCCTAGGATCTTGCCAGGCTCGGAAAGCTCAGACTCCAGTTCCTTTTTCTGACGCGGGGGCCTCGCCAACGTTGACTTGCGCATGCCAAGATACAGCTGATAATGGGAAAATATGTTCATGGACTTGTTTTGAGAACTCGGGAGACAGTGTGTCTTACGTGTGTTTGTAGGTTGAACGGCCATGTTCAGGGTTTGGACACGCGGCAAGAAGAGGAACACTGGAAGTCACGTGCCCAAGGCTGACGCAGGGTGCCGCGACTGAGAACGAAGTAGAATGTCGCAGCTGGATTGGTGTTTATTGTTTTATATTGTTTTGCTTGCTGTGGACCCTATTCAATGTTTTCAGCCCAGCTCTGTTGCGACTCTGGCAAAACCCTGAGCATGAGGGCAAAGTGTCCTTCTTACCGGTGCGACGGAGGTCGGCATGAATTGCTTGACACAAGAAGCTGCCCGCACGGGTGCTCGTCACGCTTGCATTCGACCTATAGGGTTTAGGGGACTGGCGACAAATCTTTGGAATCGGTTGGCCTGAATGAAACTTGAAAAGCACGGGGCACAATGAACAACCCGCAAAACACCATATCACAAGGACACTGCAACTTTGTGCGGTAATGCTGTGAATTGTTTTGTACATCTGACTTGGCAGGTATTCCTAACATAGGGCCTATCACGTTGCCACAGTGGCGACGTAGCATCTGGGCACGCTCATCATGCAAACCGCATTGCCGCTCTGATGTGCATGCTACTTCCTGCCCCTGGACTGTTTGCGAGTGTGGCACGGAGTGATCCTGTTCGTGTCTGCTCGCAGTGTCTGTGATTGTTGCCTCTGCCAGCCTTTGCCAGTGCAGACCAGTAAAGTCGTTGTAGAGCTGCAGCCTCCTTTGCTTGGCGTGAGCGGGAAAGTAGCCGTGGGCAGCAGTCAGCTGGCGAAGGTGGCATTCAGGCGCGCAAGTCTGACGGTCACACTTGCATGCATGCTCACTACTTGTGCAAGCAGCATCAATGAGCCAGAGCAACAAGCTAACTCAGCTGCATCTTTGTACTCCATTCCTGCTTGATTGATGCATCCACGCTCACGCAGGCACCAAAGTTGGCAGGGACGACATCATGTTGAAGAAGTTGCGACTCAGATGTGGGCTCACCGGTGTGATGTGCGGTCCCATAATCCTTAAACCTTTACCCTTGACGAGCCTACAGGTGCCTTGCGCCAGGCGCATCACAGTCAAGGTACATCAGGAGAGCAGAGTTGCAAAGCTATGCAAGGCTCTGCAAGCCCTGCCCAACTCTATGCAGTGCAAATAGGCAGCAGCTTCGCCACAGCCAAATTATGTTGAGCATTTTGAGGGTTGTGATTGCCGGAAGCGCTCCGGACGTAACTCCCTGAGGTTGGAAGCAATGCGCAGACAAGCTCAGTGCAGGCGCGGAATTTTGGGCTTGATGTTTGCGAGGTGCGGTGCCCTGAGTCATTGTACAATAGGTACAATTCAAGACTTCAAGACCTACTGTACACAACGAAGGGGCCTGCACCTCCCGATACATACACGCACACACACACGCACACCATACCATCTACTCAATCCTGCGGTAGCGTGCCAGTTAGAGCATTCGCCTAGAGCCTTGGGAGTGTCGTGGCGCCTATTTTACATCTATGCTTACTTCTTGCTCTTGGCAGATGCAGATGTGCTCGTCTGGCCTTGAGACATTGCTGTTCTCTCTCTGTTGGCTTGGTCTCGTTCCACGCCTGTGTTGTTGGATCGGAAACGGGATTTGGAATGTGTATGGACCAAGCAGGGGTGTTCATCTACTTTGTGCATGGTGAACTTAGCACAATTCTCGCTTGGGTTCGGGACAGCATTCAAGCATTGTAAGCTTGCAGCAGAGTGCGTGTGCGGTGCCGCTACAAGTGGAACGTTTTCCTTGCTGGAGGAAGAATGGCCAATCGAACACGTCACATGGCCTGTTTGCCGCTTGTTTCAAGTGAAAGGGCTAGTTCGTGCTGCCCACGTCGGTCGTCGCCCGTAGCAAGTACAAGGAGCTGGTGCTAAGACATGCTAAGGTTGAGCGGCGTGGTGGTACAGCGGCCAAGGCTGCTGGAAGGCCCCAAGAGCACTCAGGCATGCGGTGATGACTATGTGGTGGATCCACGCCCATCTCGACAGGAGGCGCTTGGCACCTGCTCCAAGCGACGACGATTGGTTCAGATTGGAAGATACCGAGGGCCTCGTCAACGATGCACTTCTGGACTGACTTTGTTGCCACGAGTATTCATGTTTCATCCTGCATCCGTTTGCAGGATTTCTGCCTACCACGACTGGTCGCCATCAGCCAGTGTGCAGGCTGAGCAAGAGCGGCATGCCTGCGCAGGGAAGCTAGTCCTGTTAGAGGGTGTCTTGTGGGGCTGTTGCTGCAACAACGCCCTCGTGAGTTTGTTGTGCAGGCCGTGTGCACATCTACAGTGCCCTTTTCTACACGCAGCTTGCGGCTGGTGGCTGGTCCAAGGCTGGTTTCCAAGCTTCACGCGCGAGCAAGTTCAATCACAGATGTTGAAAGTTCAAAGCGATGTTCCTCAGGATGGGGGGTTAGGATGGCTGGGCGCCCTTCGCAGGTCAAGACGTGGACGCGCGGCCTCAGGCATGAGATTGTGCTTCGTGTGCAACTGTTTCTCTATCACAACCTCGGACAAGCACTCAATATTATGCCACCCATGTCTCCATGCAGTGTCAGGCAGGAAACGCCTGCAGGAGTTTTTGCCAAAGATTTTCTCTTCGACCTGCACTCAGGAGTAAACCCATGGAGTGGAACAACCTTGAGTTTTTGCCCTTTTCCACTTCGGGCATCGGGGGCACACCCGAGTGAGCGCAACCATAAGGTGCCCGCTCATGATGCAGTGACGGGGCATTGGTGGCTTGCCCTCATTGTACACCCGCTGCAGCCTCGGAGACACAGCCCTTGTGCTGTCAGCTTCGACTCAAGCAATTCGGGGTGCTAATGAATTGCTGTTTTTACAGTTCTTGCTGCTTCTCGAATGACACGCGCTTCGAGAGGTGGGCGGCGGGCAAAGCGAAGGCTGGCGTGACGAACTTGCCGACCTTTACGTTGGAGCCCTGCAAGCTTGTCGATGGTCAAGGGTGTAGGGTTTAGCACCTGAGATCTGAGTGCAGTGTAGGGTCAGACAGTTCAGAACCAGAGCCAGCAAGATCGAAGTGGCTCAGATGCTGCAGTGGTCGAGGGGAACGGCGTAACCTTTCATGCACCATGCAAGACAGGAGCTCATGCTCTTCGCAGCTGTTTCTCGTTTCCGGTGCCAATGCATGTACAGCTTCCACGACGTAGACTGAAGCGGGACGCCTCGAGCCCCAAACAACCCAGGCCCTGAACCACTGAACTGAGTCTGCGGAATGCACCGCAAGCCCCGAACTCAGGCCCGGGCACCATGAGACTTTCGTGGCCATCCTGGACTCAATCGACCCGGTTCCAAGGTAGCCACATCATGCCACTCAATAACAAGAAGTCCGCGAATGGCTGTTTGAAATTGGCAGTAGGTTGGGAGGGAACCAACCTACCACATGGGCACGTCCCTCAAATAGGGGCAGCCCCCATGTGCTCCAAAATGCGGTTCGTTCATACCAAGCGATCTCAAAGTGAGTAGCTATTGGAAACCCTCCTCCGGGTTCCTGCCGGCCAGGCTCTCCGAATCCACGCGCATGAATCCCGAGGATGCCGAGGCCGAGAGCTGCACAGTCTCATGGGGTGCCCCCATTCGGTTTTAAAGGGTCAAGGATGGGTTTAGGCATCTCTTTTTCGGGAGGTCTGTGCACCTTCGGAGGAGTTTGGGGCCTTAAAGTTTGGGGCCTTTTTTCAGTCGATCCGGGGTCCAAGTTGTTTTAGATGTTTTGTTGTCTGTTCGTGCAGGTTTCAGGGTGTATGTGGGTGCATCTACAGTAAGCCGGAGGGAGTTTCACGGATCGTTTGGTGATTGACTAATGGCATCAACGTCGGTCAGATGTGATTCGGCAGCGTGCCACTGTACATGCCGAGTATGTTGCATGTTAGCTACATACTCCGGTGTTTGGCACGTGTATAGAACCTGACGTGGCCAAATCGACGCGTGCCTTCCCGTTCGCCGATCGTTTTACCATGCAATTGACATCATGACGCGACGGCCATGTGATGCTTTGCTTACAGGAGCCTCAACTTCGAAGACGCAATGAAAACACATTCGGGAACCACGCCTCGCTTACCCAACTTAGCCTCCGGGAAGAGCTAGTCGGCCTTCTCCCACTTGCCCCCCTCCCTCTTCGACAAGCTGGGCATCCTGACAGTGACGTATCATGATCACGTCCTCTCGATTGATCCAAGCCTTCCTCACGTTGAAGGAGTCACGATCCAGACCTCATGCGCACCCCTGCCATCCTCGCCCCCATTATCACCCTCACAATGCAGCTCTCATGATCCAAACTTTCAGTTTCGGGCAGATTGAAAGGGGGATGGCAACTCTAGACTCTAGCCGGTCGATGGGGCAAGAGCGAGTTGGGCAGCTCTTGTTACATGATCAGCTGGCTCTTTTGTTGCACAATCAGGTGGCAGCTCAGGCGATGGTCGTGGCGGGACCCCGCCATTCTGAGGCGGTCAAGCTGATCCAGGACACCCGTTCAAACTTTGGGGTCCGTGCTGGCAAGCACTGAACTTGACGAACCTCAAACCCTAAACTCCTAAACGCCAAAACTGTCAGGAGTACTTGAAGAAAGAGTGGGATGACTGCGTGCGTCTCAGTGTCAAGCTGCCCTACTCCTTGAAAGATCTTGTGGCTTGCAGGTTTCCAAGGTGCCGCGGACTACGATGCCGGCAAGATCCAGGGCATATCTATTGCAGTCCCGCAGCAGGCGGGAATGGTGCGCATCTCTAGCAGAATTTTTTGCACGTCATACTCATCAACGATGTTGCAGACCAATGAGACGGATTGTGGCGTGTATGTCCTGGAGTCCACTCCCGAGAGGGTCTGTTAAACTTGGCACTGGTGACCTCAATCTGAACTGTATACAGGCAGCGACGTATGTAGTGTAGCAACTCTTCTCGCAGATGTGTTTACTCGCAGCCACGAAGCACCTGCGCATGCAAATGCGTGTTGTGCCTAATTACGCCTCCAACATTCTGCTTAGGTTCGTTCGCCGCCTGCTGGAACAACCGAGCCTTCTGGAGTACATCTGCGAATACAAGGCTGGCAGCGCAGAGTAACCGGCTGAACCCGGAACATGCCAAGGGAAGCGACAGCGTAAGAACACATCGACCCTGAACCTTTATCCCAAATGAAGACGTACCTCAGTTTAGAGCTGACCTGCTCCCCCAAATCCCCAATCACCCTGGACTCTAAAGCTGCGCAAACGGAGTCCTCAGGCCTCGCCCCCGCAGCTCTCCGCTCCAGCTTCCAATCAGCTACGCTCAAAATGGCGAAGAGTTGGGGCCGCTGGGCTTGTGGAGATGGGTCGGTCGGGTCGGTCAAGGGGTTCAGTGGGCTGGTTAAGGGCGAGCCTCAGTCAAGAAGCAGCCGACAAAGCTTATGCTACAGAGTCTAGTTATGGTGTGGGAGGGTGTTACAACGTGTTGCAACGTAGCTGCTGTTGGACACAGGGTGTGCCACAATGTATCATGATGCCATATCTCAGGCTAGGCTCGAGAACGACGCGCTTCTTGAGCCGCAAAGCTGTCGCTGACATGTCCAAGCTGCGCAGCTCCAGTCCTCTGAGGGTCTAAATACGTCTAAATCCCCTTAGCTCCAAGAGGCTCCAAAACTCTCAGCCGGAAACCCCTAGTTCAAAACGTTCAAAACCACTTGCAAAATCCTTCCTGTGTTAAAGCACCCCGAAAACGCCCAAGAAAGCCCCAAGGCAGGGGCCACGGCGTGCTATTGCCACGCCTGCCAGGGCACGGGCGCCTGAAGCGGCCGGAGCCGAGGCAGAAGCGTTACCAGGGCTTTCGTGGATCATGTACTGGTATTTAGGATTTTGAGGGTGCCTTAGCTGCCTGGAAAAGGTTTCGTACGGGCTCGGAGTGTAGGGGTCGATCCTTCTCATCCTTTGTCACCTGCACGGCCTTCGACTGCAATTGGCACCACGTGGCACTTCAGGTTGGCTTTGTCGGTGACTCCTGAGTCAGTTGTGTAAGGCTCAGTGTGACCTGGGAGCGGTAAAGGCGGAAAGCTCCCCGGCTGATCGGAAAGGCTGTTGATTCGGTGCCGACATCGGGCCCCGCAGTTTCTGTTTCTGCATGTGAGGTGGGTTCGTCCCAACCCATGTCCGAAGAGAGCACTGCCGCAGATCCCCCTCACGGAGTGGGTAAGAGCTGAATTTCTACAGTCGTAGATGGAGTCAGCGGCTGCAGAAGTCTTCTGTCCTTTCCGTGGAGGGTCTCTCCAAGCAGTCCGAATTCGTTTAGAAATTGCAAATATGGCCAGAGGAGCCGCAATCAGGATCTCAATCCAGGATTTGCTGTCGGAGCGGTGCGAAGGCTGCCATTTTCCTGTCGTGATGCCAGGAGAGCACTGTCATAGGTCAGATGCCAGGAGAGCACTGTCATAAGTCATTCACCCGGCTCTTTGCTAAACCATCTTGCGAACCTTTCGGCTGCAACTCAAGCCTCGATCCACCTTTTCTGTAGTCTTGCTGGGGGCTGGCATGGACAAATGCATGCAGCGAGTGCGAAGCCAACGGCTTCCCTCCCGATGGAAGTTGACCTCGAGGCCACAGAGACTTTCGTGCTGGCGATGGGAAACAACTCTGACGGACAGCTAGGTTGTGGCATGGCCGACGAGGACGATGACAAGGCAGGAGCGGGCTGAAAGACGTGTTTTTACACGGTTTTGCATAATCCACGGATCGCAACGTTGATTACCCAAACTGGTCCTAAGCTTGAAGAGTTGTTCTCCCTAGGTCTTTTCGCCTTGTGAGCTGCATGCTTTTGACTCGGTGGGCATTCGTAGTTGCTCCGCTTCTTTGAAGCACTCGATTTGGTTAAGTCACGACGGTTTGGTGTATACTGCTGGGGATAACGATTCCGGACAGCTGGGCCGAGCCGGGAAGCGTGCGAAGCCCTTCAAGATTGATTCCATCGAGCACATGCCCGTCGAAAGCACGGCAGCAGGCAACGGGTTCAGCGTCCTCGCTGCGAAGTTGGATGGGCGCCTCATGGGCGTCGGCCGAGGGGACCGGGGGCAGCTGGGAATGGGGGGTGCCGATCGAGATGACAAGGAGCGAGTGAAGTTTTCGTCTGCCTTGGACGAGCAGCTTCTGCACATCTCTGCTGGGGATTCGCACTGTATCGCACTGTGCCGCTCAGGAAAAGTTCTGGCATTTGGAGAGAACAAGCATGGCCAGCTTGGAGTCGGTGACTTCGTGAGTACTGCGACACCAAAGCCTGTGCCTACTTTGCAAAGCCGACCCGTGGTTCGGGTCTGCTGTGGAGGATCACATACGTTAGCAAGAACGGCCACTGGACTTCTGTGGGCTTGGGGCTGCAACGAGCACGGCCAGCTTGGCCTTGGCGACCTTAAGCCGAGGTTTCGCCCTGAGCAGGTGAAGGCCATGCGCGTTTCCCGCTGTGTGGATGTCGCGGCAGGAAACCGGCACAGTTTGGCCATCTCGGAGAAGGGCCTTGCCTTTGCGTTCGGAGCTGGTGGAAGTGGGCAGCTGGGCTCTGGCGGCATCGCTGAGGCCGAGCCTTATCCGAAAGTCATCGAAGCTTTGAAGGAGATTGGGACGTGCTTACAGATCGCTTGTGGGCACAGCCACAGCCTCGCCGTGGTTCTGAACCAGGATTCCCTGAAAGAGAATGTTTATGCCTGGGGCCTGGGATCGAGTGGCCAACTGGGCGTCCCGCGGGAAAACCTTCACGAGAAGAAGCTGTCTCCCTTGCCACAGAAGCTGCGTCTGGATCCATCCCTGAAAGTGTTGAACGTTTGCAGTGGTCCCCTCTCGCACCATACCTTCCTCATCGCTTTCCGGGCTCCTGGTGCTGCTGAGTCCAGTGGCTACCCGGGAAGCTTCCCTGGCAAGGAGGCCTTGAGCCCACTTACAACCATGGCGGCCGTCGTGCCTATGCGGCACTCTCTGCACACCGCCATCGATGCGGACGAGCTGCTCCATACCCTGAGAAGCCTGAAAGGCAGCGAGGGTATTCAACAAACTGCGCTCGTGAAGGCTGTGGGCGCTGCCTTCAGCTCTGTGAGTGTGCTCAATGCTTCTTTCCGCCGAACGTCGCCACTCGGGACGACGGCGGAATCCAGTGGTGTCGACCTTCTCAAAGTGCGCAAGGCATACCACACCCTGGTCTTTGAGCTAAGGAATGCTGAGTTGATCAATACACTGGGGAGAGCCACCGTCTCTATCTGTGATGAGCTTTCCAAGCAGCGTGTTCCGACGGACGATCCCGAAACGCTCTGCGTGTTTTTGGTTTTGTTTGAGAATCCATTGTTGCTCGCTGAACATCGAACCTCGCTCTTTGCTGGCTTCCATGTCGCCTTACAACGCCTCACGGCGGCGGTGCTCTCGCTTCCAAAAGACTCTCAAAAGCTTCTCTTCGGCTGGCTGAAGCACCTCCCTAGTGAGTACTTCGGACGTGTGGTGAACGTAATGCAGCAGTATGTGACTTACGTTCTCACGCAGCCTGGGCAGAACCAGAGCGATGTGTCAGCTGCGGTGATTTTGCTTTCGACTCTTTGGGACGCCAACGCTGAGATGGATGGCATATTGCCTGAATGGTGCTTTCAGAGCCAGGCCATATCTCAAAGCTCGGACTTGCAGGAGCACTACCGCCGCCCAGCAACCAAGAGAGGTTAGAGGAGGAAGTGAGGCTCCAGAGGAAGGGAGATAGAGGCTCCAGAGGGAAACAGAATGAAACAGATGCGTTCAATAGACGAGAACAGGTTATGTATGTTAAGATTGGTTACCTTAGAAGCAGTTGGTGCTGACTGATAGACTGTCCGAGGTCAGTGGCAGCAGCAACAGTCGCTCGTGTTCTCGTACTGCCGCCTGCTTAAACTATCAAACTGCGCTTTAGGGCCGAGGGCCGAGGGACAGCTTTTCGTTTTTGGCCAGAGGCTGTGAGACGCCCTGCATCTCCAAGCGAGGTCGATATCCCTTCTTGCTGAATGCCGGTGCCAAGCGCAGACTCATCTCCTTCGACGTGGAGCTCCGCAGCCAGGTTGCCTCCCAGGAGATCTGGGCAAAGATGCTCCGATTCCTGGCCTAAAGGTTCTTAAAGGGTCTAGGGGGCCGAGACCTGTTTGGGGATTTGGGCCTTTGGATTCAGGAAGCCCAAATTGCTGCTCCAAATCCCAAAACAACCCACACCCTCCGTCCTTGCTCAGGCAATTCCCAACCTGCGAAAAGGGCCCTAGCCCGGACAGATACCTGAAGTGGTTGAGGGTGGAAGGGGGCAGCTTTTTTTTGTTTTAGGATTTGGGTTTTTGGCTGAAGGATCTGGGGACGGGTTCCGCGTTTCAATGACTTGAAGCTTTGAAGCCGATCCGAGCACGCGTATTTACAGGACAGGCCCCAAAGCTATTGTAAGGGCTTGGCAGCCCTGTGGTACCCTCATGCCCTTTATGCCCTTTTTGTAGTTCTAGGTTCCCTCATAACGTAACCAACAACAAGAAGTTTACCCTTATAATAATCTGATTGCCGGGCTACCAAGACAAACACCGCCTTAACCCCACTTTCATTTCCAGGCACTAAGCCCTTAAAGCCCTTAACACCGTTAACTCTCCCATCTTCAGGAGAGGGCGCCCCGGAAGATTCCTTCCAGCGCGTTCTGGTCTACCGGGTGCGGCGGGAGCAGCTTTGATGTTCTGCCGGCAGTGGGCAGGAAGGTTGTTCTTGGGAGTTTTGCTGGGAGATGTTTCGGAGACATTCGGGGGAGGCCAACTTTTCGTTGACTGAGCTCTGCTTCGCGGAAGCCTGCTGAGGCACATACTCTCAGACTTCTGCGGCCAACTCTGGTGGCGGATACAAAACCAGCCAGAGAGCATCTTGGCTTGCTGGAATGCTGCTGCAGAAGCTTTTTCTGTCCTTCCCCTCAACAAGTCTTGCTGTAAGAGGTTTTTCGTCTTAGAGGCTGGGAGTCTCATTCTACGGATTGCGCCCTACGCCCCGATCCCTCCATGATCACAAGGCCTGTGCTTGCCGCTGACCGTGGATTTCGTGGGCGAGCACGGAATCGATGCCGGCGGATTGCGACTCTCAGATGCGAAAGGGGCAAAAGTGCCGTGCAAAAGAGGCAGTCTTGATCAGTCTTGCCATGCACTTTGCCGATCACTTCTCACAGCCATCGTCTAAGGGTCTAAGGTATTCTAAGATAAGTGTTGCGGATCTTCCGGCCCCTGGAGATTCCTATGTAGTTCACTCGAAGAAAACTCTGATGGCCTATCGGCCATGAACCTTTTTCTTGGCTTCCAAGCAGCCGAAACCCAGCATGTAAGATTCTGCAGAAAACAACACGGCAGGAAGCTCCCGTCAACAATGCAGCTTCCCGAGCTTGCTCTTGCCGACTCTCCTCCGACGTGCACAATCTCAACGGCTCAGCGTAGTATTTCCATGAGCTGCTGTCATCGTTTTTGTGATCTTGTTTTGGTCCTGTCAACAAAGGAAAGGAATGCCTGCACCTGGTGCTGCGAGAGATGTACACAAAGACCCAGCAGCTCTCCTTCACGGTGGCACTTGTTTTGTGGGAGCACCATGGAGCCACCTCTTTCGTCTGGGGAAGGCTTCAGAAACGGTTTGCAGCAGCCGGCCTGTTCCCCCAAATAACCCCTCAGAATGCGGGAGAAACCAATGAACCATCAAGCCGCTCTGCGGACCCCGCCCCCCCCCCCCCCGCTCTGAATTCCAAGTTTTCTGGGTGCCTTGGGCCGGATGACACCATCAAACCCAGGGTCTTCGTCGAGCTGGATGAGTGGCCTGGCCTGCTGTGGTTTCGCCCGGCCTGCGACAGCCAGGCTGGGGCCTTCTGCACCTCGAAGGTTTGACGTGCAGCCTCCTTCCTTATGCCAAACCTCAGCAGTCCCCTCTAGCACGAACTCAACAACTGCTGTTGAACAGCGTCTAGTGCTGGCTTTAGAGGTACTGATTGAGCGGAGGGGTTCTTTCTGAGCCTGATGGCTGCTGAAGCAACGCTAGCTAACCAGGCGCTGAAATCACTGAGTGCAGGCTGGCAATTTGCAGATAATTTTAACGCTACGCGACCCGCCTCGGCCCGGCCCAGCGCATCCGCGTGAGCATGGTGATTCCGCAGCGCCCAAGTTGCTGGGCCCCAAGCAATAAGGGTTGGGTTTAGGGTTTAGGGTTTAGGGTTCCGGGTTTATGGTTTATGGTTTGGGGTTTAGGGTTGAGGGTTAGTTTAGGATTGAGGGCTTAGGGCTCAAGGTTCACGCTTTGGGGTTTAGGGTTTTTTGGGTGTGGGGTTCAAGAATCGTAGGGTGGAGCCAGCCCATCAGGGGTAGGGGGGGTGGGGGGGGAAGGGGGGGCAGGGGGAGGGTGGGAGGGGGGGGTTTGTTGAAGGTTTGAGGGTTGAGTGCTTCGGTTAAGGTTTAGGGTTTCGGTTCAAGCTTAGATTCTTCGGCTCGTGTAATGCATCCCAGGCCGTGTAGTGGTTTTTTTTGGGGGGGGGGGTAGGAGGGGAGGGGGGGTTGGGTGGGGGGGGAGAGGAGGGTGGGGGAGGGGGGGAGGGGGGGGGAGGGAGGGTTCAGGAAGGGGGGGCGGAAAAAGGGGGGGGGGCCCCTGCTGGGAAGGGCTGCAACTGCCTCTGGTCCTGGCGAACCATCCGCTGGCGGCCCCTGCTCTCCTAGGGGGGGTACCCATTTTTGGCAAAAAAAGGGGTCCGAAAAGTGGCTTTGGGTCTGGGGGGAGGATTTGGAGGGGGGTGCCTGTTCTGACAACCTATACACCTTTGGCCCGAGGCCTCGGCGGATTTGCAGAGCCATTCCTCTGATCAAAAGTGATCAAAAGTTTCTTCCCCTGGAGACCTTCGGACTTTGAGAGTGGGTTCACTGCGGGGTCTTGCTTGGGGCAGGTGCTCTCCGTCACGGCTCCAGATCAGACAGCGCACGATGAGAGCCTCCGATGCAACGCTATCACTGACACCACTCCCAAGTCCCGAGTTCCTCAGCCCCCATACTTCCGGTCACCGCAAACTATCTGAGGTCTTGGGTGGAGCATCTGCCGGAGATTGCTGGTGCCATTGTGGGCCTGGCGGTGCATTCCTGAGGGGCTTGTGGCTGTAGATGACCGTGCGAGATTGAGGTCATTGAGGTTTTTTTTTTGACGTGCCCAAGTAATGCTAAAATGTGAATATTGCAAATGTCGCGCACCTCCTGTCAGCAGTCTAGGTGTACAACGCTATCTACCTGGACTTCAGGCCTCCGGGCTTGATGCTTGTTGGCGTTTTCAGCAAAGCCAAGGCGGAAGCTATGATTCCGGCCAACTTTCTGATGCACCCCCTCCCCCCCTGTGGTTTATTGCCACACAACTTTGCTGCCCTACTGGCCTCGAGGCACCTCCTGTAGTGCATTTCTGAATTTCTGATGCTGGTCGCGACACGACAGCTCTCGGTTAAGCTGGTGTGGCGTTCGTACCTGACTGCGTGACTCTGGCAGGCTGCATCCTCTCATGTACAAGTTTCTCATGCAGGGCCCGGTGACCCCTACCGTCGAGGACGGCCGTGCAACAAGACCAAGCATGCATCATGTAGCTGCCATCTACTTCCTCATGTATGTATGTATGCATGTATGTATGTCTGTGTAAGTAAGTAAGTATGTATGTATGCATGTATGTATGTTGAGTTAATTTCCAGCATACACACACGGAGACACAGACACCGACACCGATACCGACACCGACACCGTGTCACCCGGTACACGACCGATGCATTTCGACATGATTCGCTCGCCACAGTCTCTTCGGCAATCGATTTGCAAGGCTGAGCCGGGGATTCCTGGGGCCGGAGAGGAAACTAGGTGAGGGTTCACCAGCCGGTCACACCATGGGGACCGCATCTCCGAGTCTTCGTCACGGCAAACAGGGTCAGAAAGGATCAAGGTGTTATGCATGGTCTTCAATGGCTTTAGTCAGGTTGGAGCCCCTGTAGCACTTGCTTAACAGCCTGCTTGTGCAGGATCTCCAGGGTCTTCATCCTTCTTTGTACAGGTCACTCACCAGTCTGCGCAGCACATCTGCAAACCACGTGTCGGCGAGCTGTCGTACAGTCTTGTGAGAATTTGTGCATAAACCTGAGGCAAACACGACATCCGGCATCTGGGATGCGATTGCTGTGAGTGGATGTGTGCTTCGCTATGCTTTGCTGCAACCTGCTTGAGTGTTGAGGAGAGTGGCTGCCTCCATGAGCTGCGTTCTTTTCTGTGTTTCTTTGACAAGGAATCTTTGCTTGACCTGGTCAGTCCGCTTGCCTGGTGCCAACGAGGTTCATTGAGCATCCCTGACCGTTGAGCTTTGTCAATTTTTCGCGTGAGCATCTCGCATGCCTTGTCGCAGCGCAGGACAGGCCCTTGGCGGGCAAGCCTGCAGCTGCTGATGTCCAGCAGGAAGAGCTCGAGACATTTATTGCAGAGCACAGCGGCCGCAGCTACAGAAGCCATGTGCAGTGCAAGCAGTGCAATCGCGACTTGCGGAGCAGTTACTGCTTGTCTGGAGCACCTACGGGTTTCGGGCAGGCATGATGGTGGGGTCCAGTGAGGTATGCACAAGCCGCCCTCTATGCTGGGGACGGCGAGCAAATCCGAGGGTTTGTGCAGAAAGCCTTGCTGTGCACCTTGGCTCGGCAGACTTCTTTATGGCTGCACAGGGTATGCCTGATCCCCTGCCAACCCGACCAAAAACCCTAAACCTTTGAGCAAGCAGAGCATGGATTCTCCAACTAAATCTCATTCTATTTGAGCCAGAACCCCCAAACAAATCAATCAACAACTCATAGTGAGAATAATGAGAGGAATAAGAAAGCAGAAACACCAGGCATGGCTGTTGGGCCGGCCTTCCGTCTCTGCACGGCCCACGACTTGGAGCTGCTGATCTGCGGGCTCCCATACCTTGGGGACTTCAAGGCGAGATGATTTTTTACAAGAGTCTGTTCAGAGATCGAATTGTGAATGCTTTCGCGCTCGCCGCCTCGGCAGCAGGGCCGGCCAAACCACAGGATTTGCAAGTCGGCAGTCCAGGTTCCAGTCCACACGGCTGCACATATGCAAAGCGACGAAGAAGACACCGGAGAGCAGCCGACCCAACTTTGAACCTGCAGCGCAAAGTAAGCTTGGGGGACGTATAGGTTTGCTGAAGGACCCTTGAAGCCGTGTTTGCCTTGACTTGTCTTTCCGTGCACCCCTTTCACTAAACCCCTCATGCCTTTGCTTTGTGCCGTCCTCTCGCCGTGGCTCGCTCCCAAGGCTGCTGTGGGCGCTGGCTTGGGGCTCTGGTGTGGGTCTCGGCCACAAAACATGTGGGGACTTGATTCCAGATTGGGCCCGGGCAAAGGGTTGACACCGATCAATGTTTCTGGCTCGCTCTGCACGGACCCTGACCCGCACTCTGAATCTCCAGAGCTGCAGCACCTTGGTGGTACCTCAGATCTCCTTGCTTGGTTGGAGCCCGCCCCAAGCCCGGATGCGGCGGCGCACGGTTCGCCTCTTTGGCGCCAGCGTCAACATTGGGGACTGCAGCCTGGGCGCACCCGTTTGTCCGGATGGCCCTGCCGGGGTAAGCGCATTGGTGAAGCCTTGCGCCGGCTCGAGGCGCCAATCAAGGGGTGCGCCAGCGGGGATGCGGCCATGGCCAGAGGATGGGCCAGCCACGCTGCTATGCGGCCGCGATCTGCAGTCCCACGACGTATGTTCTGTTTGCGGGCTGTCGGTCTCCAAGCGCTTCAATGGCACCCATACACGCTGCCCCCCTGCCGGCAGCCCCAGAGCAAGCTTGGTTGGGGGGAGCCGTGCGCGGGACCTAACTTCGCAGACATTTTTGCTGCCAAACTCCCTGTTGAAGCATGTCCCCAGAGCCATTGAAGTGGACGCAGGCTGTGCTAGGTCGGCCGCCAGTCTGGAGACGCTGTGACCAAACTGCGAGACAAGCGCCGACAGGCTTCTCCTGCCCGACCCCGCCTTGTGCAGCACAATGTGCCGACATTTTTGTGGGAGCAGGTTGTCAGTGCGGTTCGCAGCTTCCGCAGAACCAGCGCCGCTGGGCTTACAGGCTTGCGAGGAGGCACCTCCGGGAAGCCCGCTCGAGTGCCGGCCATGCGGACGAGGATGCTGCGCGCCCGACCGCCGTCACGCACGTCCTTGTCATTTGGCGGCAGGGGAACCCCCCCTCTTCGCGTTGGCTCTTCAGCCCGTTTTTGAAGCCGCGCAGTCTGGCCCAGCAGGAAGCCGGTTTGATTAGCTTGGATGACGTCTGCCTTGCAGGAGGTTGTCAGCAAGTGGCCGAGTTTCTTACAAGGTTGGGCTCTGCTGCCCGCCAAGTGGGCTTGCAACTGCACCCGCAAAATGCGAGCTCATTCATCGGTTGACGCGCGTGCCTTCCCTGCCGGCGCCCGCCAATGCCAGTGGCAATTTCCTTCTTCTGGGAGCCCCGATCGGCCAGGCCCACTACACTGAAGGCACTACATTCGCTGAGCGGGTCGACAAAACCCGCCCGCGCTTGCGGGCCATCGCCGAGCTTCCCGACCCCCAGACTGCTTTTGCTAGTGCTTCGTTCTGCAAGTTTGTCTTCGCTCCGCGGGTCACCCCAATGCGGCTGCTCGGGTCTGCTGCCGCGGCTTTTGACAGTGCCGTCCGTGAGTGCCTGGCATGCGCCAGCGGCCTATGCTGCCTCCCTCGCCGTGCAGCAATTGTGCCCTGCTCTGGACAACAACTTTTGCCAGGACTGGCCCGCGTCCGCGTCCAGCGTCAACGAGCTCCTGCCAGATGATCGGATTCCGGTCCCCGCGCTGCCTACTATCAAACAGCCCTGGTCGCCCGGCTCGGAGCTCCCGCGCCGCGAAGCTTTTCGTGCCATCTTCGCGCCGCCCTCAGAAGGGAAGCTGTTGATGTTGCCTCGCTGAGTTTCGCAAGGGGCGCAAGTGCACGCTTGCATGTGCCACTGTCTGCGCTTCCCTTGTGTTGTTTTGTCCTCGCGCCGCCCTCAGAAGTGGGGAAGGGTGCCTTTAGGCTTTAGGCACGTACGCGTATTGTTCCACAGCGAATGTGCTGCTATCTGCAGTTTTGACAAGAGCGGGAGTGCGCTCGTTGTCAGCGCTCGTGTGCTTGTTGCCAAGTGAAGCTTGGGTAGGGTGCTGGGAGCTGCCAAGAAGTTCAGGAGGCGCCGCTGCGTTGGTGTGAGGGAGGGGGAGACCAGATCCTGTTTTTGTTCCAAACGCCTTTCGGCCGGACCCATGTTTTGTTGGTGGGGGCGGGGAGGGGCGGGGGCATTCGCCATTTTAATGCGAACCCTTGTATTTCGGTTGCCCTGGTAAAGCTTGGACAGGGAGTTGAAGACGGAGGGGCTTTTGGAAGGTTAGGATCCCTTGCTTTGTGGTGCAGCGATTCTTGTGTGTTAGTTCGAGCAATTGTTTTTGGTACCCTGCTGTGCTTGTCGGAGTTGTCTTGCTTCGCTTGCCGAGCGCCGAGCATGACTTCATGATTTCGGTGGGAGGGGTTTCGAGCCTACAAGGCACAGGAAGGCCGCATCGATAGCCGTTACTGTGGGGTGTCTTAACAGTTCGTGTGGGCCACGTCGAACAGGTCACTGTCCCCGCAACACGAAACCCTGAACTGAACATGAGAAATGGGGAGTTTATACCGTGTCAGGCCAAGGCTGTCGACAAGGAACGCTCGTTGCCCAAGGCAAGCCATCACAGGCATTGCACAGGTTGACAAATCAAATGAACCTACACCTCACGGTGCCCGAACGCCCCGGGGCCTTCAACTTCCTAAATCACAAGTCATATGAACCTTAATCAGACTCTTTACCCAAAACCCTACTAGGACCTGGAGCTGAGCTGCAAGTACGAGAATGGCCTCTTGGCCTTTTTGGGGTCCCGCCTTTAAGAGCAGCGGGGCTTGCCTGTGCCAGCTATTGAGCCTTATTGCAGGGAAGTTGCGGCTTCAACCTCACAACGAAAGTGCGAAAGACGTCTGTCGCTCATCACAAGACATTGTATACGATAAATGTTACAACATCGTCTTACACCGAAAAGTAACGGTACCGTCAGATCAGCACCCACCGGGGTCATACTGAGGGTTGAGGTTTCGAGTGTCATGCGCGTGGCTTAGAGATCTCGAGTGATCTGGCCGCCCGGCCCTTGACAATCCAATCCCTTTGCCGAGGTTCACACGCTTTATATTTTTCTTGTTCCCTCCTCAATTTCCATTGATGTCCCGTGCACGGCTGCACATCTACTGATGCTTTGCTTGGAACAAACAGGTGTGTCTTGATGTGGTTGTGCTGCAGTTGTGCATTGGGAACTGGCACAAGACCTAAAGAGTGTTCCTGGCTCAGAAGCAGGCGGGGGAGGCCGTGCAAGGATTGTGGCGCATACTCAGGTTTCTTCCCAGATCATCCTGTGGCAAAAGTGTTCCTCGACTTGGACCTGGAAGACTCTTTTTGATGTCTGTTTGGTGGTGGCAACCACCAATGGGGCAGACCCCAGAAGTCATCAAGCTTTCCTCAGGTTCTGGCGGGTGGTGCATGGCATGTCTGAGATCTGGTGCCAGCCTCGTTTTGACAAGCATCAGGTGTTGACTCTGAAGCAGCCTTGCATCATTGAACTGTTTTAGTGCTGCCAAAGCCGCCTGTACTCCACTCGCTGCGGGGCTTTCTGTTGTGGACAAGCCCGCACGTTAGGGAGCGGCTCCTTTCTCGTTTTGTTCTCGCTTTTCTCGCCTGGATCGTTTCTTCTTGCTCAAAGGCCTCCTGACCTTGGAAAGCCCCGCTGCGAGCAAGCGATGAGCGAAGTGTTCCCTAAGCTGAGGCAGCGGAAGCTGCTCCTCTTCTGTACTGGCTGCGACCGTGTGCCCATTCTTGGCCTCCGAGCTTTGAGACTCGGCACTTATTCTCTGAGCCGGAGGGCGCTCCTAAGGTCCTAGCATTTGCTCTACTTGTAGCATCCTGAATCGGAGTCCTTCACCTGACCAATGTCACAGTCGTGCTCTTAACCCTTAAGACATATGTGCGAACTCGGCACGGGCTTCTTATGGCTTCTTCATGGAGCTTATGATTGCCTATTTGTTTTAGGTCATAGGGCTAGTGGCTGTTGGGCTCATCATGTGGGTCTTTTTCCCACTGTTGCATACCCCTGCAGCATCATGACTACGACCCCAATTAACGAAGCAAAGTTCGAACATCTTCGGCATTGACGCGGGACATCGCTGCCATGTTGTTGCAGCATGCTTACTGCTGTGGTGGCGATGTTCACCACATAGCCCCGATGATACAGGGGACCAGTTTTTTTTTCGCACCTGTCTTCACATAGTCGGTGGACGGTCATGACTCGACCTGCACGGTCAACATTCCCGCCGGGGTACCGTCAGCAATGCTGTAGTGAAGCACAATGTTCCACATCGATGCCGTCAAGACAGCTCGTTTTAATGAGGCCGGCACAAAGCCTTGTCCTGACCAGCTGTTGTCGGTCGAAGTCGGGGTCGACATCTCGAAGGGTTTGGGCTGCTTCAAAGGCGAGGTCCAATGCTCATCTTCCACGTCAGCATCGCAACTGCAACCACAAGATGCTGGCCGATACATCAGTATGGCACAAGCACCTTGACAGCGCTGCATCGGCAACGATGGCGCTTGAGGCTCCTCACCTTCACGCCATCGTTTCCCAGTCTCCGACACGCGAAGCCTTAAACCCTGAACCCGGAACCCTGAACTCTGAACTAGAAAGAAGCAGAGAGAAAATTGACAGATCAGCTGCAGGGGCCAAGCTGATCCACTCCAGGCAGCCCCGCACACCTTAGCGCCGAAGAGCTCAAGAGACCCGTGCTCCGCCTCCACTGCGGTATAGTGCAGGAGGGCCCAGCACAGCTGCCCCCCACCCGTCGGACCCACGCTGGCAGACGAAGCTTGCGGATTTTATGTTTGAGTGCGCGCAGAAACCCAGCGAGGTGGCGCTGTCAGGTTCCAGCATTTGGGCCCTTGGCATGTCCTGCACGGAGCTGCATGATGCAACGATGTTGGTTTCATGGCGAAGATAACCGTGCTCGGAAACATTCACGGGACTAATGCTCCCCAATCTCCCAAATGACACTGCAAACTCATCGCACCTGTTCACAGGGCCTTCACTTTTACCATTGCCCCGGCAAGGGATGATTTTGGTGTGCTCCAGGGTGCGCGACAGTAGAGATGTGTGATCCTAATGACCTCCGTGAGCCCTGTGGGCCATTGTGGGAAGACGGTGGAAAGTTCAGGAATTTCGTCTTGTCACGGAGCACGGCGGATCTTGACCACCTCCCAACGGCCGCAAGCTGAGCATCTGGAATTCTGTGTTATCTTTTTCCAGCTTTTGGAGGGTTGTGGGTTCGGAAAGGTTGAGCAAGACGGTTATGTCAGGGTAGGGTGCCGGGGTTCGGGACTCGAGGTCGTGAGGAGGTATAGTAGGATACAATATAAGCATAGTGGCATTGCAAGCACTCAGGACATGAGACTATCAGTGCATGAGCGAGATGCTGCACAAAAGTCTGTAGACCCAAGGCGAACACCTGCATCAATCAACTGAACCTGCCGGAGTATCCCACGGAGGACTCGCCAGCGGGGAGGTGGGGGAGGGGCCGTGGGCGTAGAGGTCATAGAGGGAGAACACGCATCGACACTGCAGTTTCAGGAGATGATGCACATTCGTCTCCATGCAGCGCTGGAGCACTACACCGGCTTTGGGTTTGCTTGATGATTCGACTTCCAGATTGGCTTGGCTCCACAACTCGACGAGGATGTGGCTCGAGCTCGCATGCAGTGAGCGCAGTCGGCACATTCCTTCGTGTGGGCGCACTTGCATGTGACGCAATCTGTTCTCAAGATCTTCTTCGCCACTTAGCAGCGTCACGCCGCAGTCGAGTCACTCCTCCGTTGTGTTGAAGCGGATGCATCCCAGCATCATGGAGAGTTCCCTGCTGTTCCGGTGCGTCCCTGCAGTTGTCCAAGCTGGCAACATCTCTGTTGGATCATGCCTAAGCGTTGAGTTGCGAAAGTTGGTTTGTGCTTGCGAGCTCGATGCTTTTAAAGAGGGAGGCCTTCTCATGAATGTTGCCAGTTATTGCGATCAAGTTGTGCGCTGCCGCGTGAGGCTCGGCAGGTTCAACGTCTCACGCAGTCATGTATGGAAAACAAGACCCCTGTTTTATCCCGGGCCTGGGTCCTGACTCACCTCCAAGTTGCTTCCAAGCAGGCGTACAGCAGGCCTCAGCCAAAGCAACCATACTATGGGTAGAGCATTCTGCCATGGAAGCTGCGAAGCATCATCAGGCACAACTCCAGCACAGGAAGGCTTTGTCAGCCGTGTTCGTGAACTGGGTACGCCTTGACCAGGCATGGCAGCTGACAGATGAGCAAGGATCGCCGTCGCCCCCCATCATGCCGATTCGATGATAGAGTCGAGTTAGAGTATGGCACAGCACCATACAGCATTGCTTTGCCCAGCTGAGATCTGGGCCGTTGCTCGCTGGAAGGAGTGGCCGCCTCGCTGCCCTTTGCCTCTGGAGGCCTTTTTGCCAGCTACCAGCGATTGGCGCAGCATAGCTTTTTCGCGATACTAAAAGCCGCATTCGCGACGCTGACAGAGGCCATCCAGCAGCTCCTGATCCACTACCTCGCATCTGGAAGAGGCTGCGCACGGCTGTGGGAGGGAGTCGGGCAACGCAGCTCTGTGTGAACATGTGCTGGCACTCGGAACCGCGATGTAGATCATCATGTAGGGATGTAGCAATATCCTGGAACGGTCCGGAGTCCGGAGGCTACGACGATGCCAGCGTGGCGGCTGCAGCGAGCGAGGGGAACCGCTTCTTTCAGCAGAAAGACTTTGGTCTGGCTCCCGGCTGCCCACGCGTCGGTTGAAAGCAGCTGTTCTGATCATTGAGGTCGGGCGCTCGATCTGTATGGCATCGCATATGAGGTTGGCCGCAGAGCTCAGCTTGAGCTCCGCCTTTTCTTATAGTTTCTTGTCACCTGCCCCGGCCTGTGCCTGCCGACTCCTGTCGACTGGACTGTAGAGTGTTTCCGAGGCCGGCTGCACTATGCTTATCGCCCCCTGCTGCATGACCGCTCGGGGCAGGGCACAGGGGTGATTCTCGTCCGCGCCGCAAATGCAAGATCTTTGCCACACTTTTCTGAAAGTTGTGTACCAGGACCTGCTGCTGCGTCGAATCCTGTGCCACTCCCTGCTGGGCAGATTTGAGCAAGCCCTCCAGGCGTCAATTGCTGTTCAATGGCTTCAGGGTTTCACGGCCTTGCCTCTGTCCTTTGGATTCCGGTGTGGGCTGCGGTCGTTTCCATGTCCAAAGCACTGGTTTCGAAGGAACCACCTATAAAGGAGCGTAAAGGATCCACCGAGACGCGCGGAGGAGTGCCACACCGCAGCCTGGCTGATTCCCCATGAGGCCAGGCCTCGAGCTTTTTACGCGTAACCACACGCACTCTTGACGGCAGTTTCAGAGCTGTTTGTGCGATACTGTCTTCATTTCGACTCTTTCACTGCGTCACCGAACCTCGAGGCCTGTAGCTAGCTCAACCTGCAGACCCTGGCGAGAGCCTCCTGAACCCACCCCAGCGATGTGCATCTCGCGCGTCCCCTTTCTTGAGTTAGGTTCCCAGAAATCAACACCCAAAGCCTCGACCCCCACAACCGGAGAGCCAAGTCGAAAGGCCACATGCCAGCTGCTGTTTGGAGTGATCTACTCCAAGCTTGGCAGCTGGGACAGCTCGAGGATGTCAGATGCGTCACTGCGATTTCGGGGTTCGGCTTAGGGATTTTCGAGTCTAGGGGCTTGTGGGTGCATCCAGGTGCTGCGCCTGGCATACTCATGCCTCTAAATTTTCAGCCTGGTCTCTCTGGCTGCTGGTGCAGCGGCACAGCACACAAGCCTATTCAAGTCTACTTGTGATGCCCTGGAGGCCCTTAACATCACAATTGCCTGCCTGTTAAGGCTCACACAGCCAAAAAGCCTAGGATGGTCAAGGACCATAGCTTGAGAGTTCCCGAGCCCGCATGCTGCAGATCTTTTGAGATCCTCCCGGGCTGCACATCTGCATGACCTAAGTCGTCACCGGGATCCGCAACAACCATAAGACCCAGCACATCCAAGGACGGGGCGAAGAAGCCAATTCCTCTTTCCAGCAGGAGCAAACCTTTCCATTTGCTTAATGGACGGGTCGGGGTTTCAGGGCTTTGGGGTTTTAAATGTCCGCATCCAGTACTGTGGCACCAGCAACCTATCCGCATTCATGAAACCGTGGGACAAGCAGTAGCGCATGCCAGAGATCGAGCGCAAGATGAACCACAGTTGAAAATCCAGACCGTATTCCACCATGACAAGCCAACACTCCACCGAGCGTGAACCTTGCACGTGCACAAGCCATGATCAACGAGCGCATCTGCAGTTCGTTGAGTGTTTACCAAGTCATAGTAGAAACAAACGCCCCAACTCCCCAGCAAGCCTTGACATGTTAAGTTCGGTTCGTTGGCCCCTGAACCTTCAAAGTCCTAAGAAGCCAATCCAGTGACGCAATTGACTTTCGCGGCCTCTGAACTGAGGATAAACAGGGCGTTGGGTTTAATTAATGTTCTAGGTTTTGATTTCGGGATGTGCAGTTGGTATGAGCAGATGCTCGTGACGGGACACGCCTGGGTCTAACCTGAAGAATTGCTACCTGCGAGGCAGTGGCGACATGCTGGGATTTGCGGGACTTGGTCGCTGACTCGGCTTGTGGGCAGGGTTGACGACAAATCCTGATTCCTCACGAAGCATGGAAGCCGTTCAGCCCCACAAAGCTCGTAGAGGTGCTGGAGGCTCCCAACTCCGATGCCTTCACCTGCAGCCAACACCCAATGACACAACCACTTTCCCTGCATTTCTTGAGTGACCCTAGATGCTTGGATAGTGGTTTAGGTCCCGGGTTTGTGGCTTTAGGGGGTCCAGCATCCAGCTTGAAGTAGCCAATGAAGCCTGCCAGCACTTCAGGAAGCCAACATCCACATCTCAACACTAGGTTTAGCTCGGGATGTTTCTGGATGTTTAGGGTTTAAGGGTTGACGGCCCGGGGCCGCTCGCGCAGGTGGATTGTCTGATCGCTTTCTTCACGAAGCAGCATGGCTTCATGGATCGTGCCATCAGGATCTGCACACAGGCCAGCCCACTGAAACCACGCTGTTCCATATCCTGTATACTTGCTTTCTTGATCGCAACTTTGTTTCTTCTGACGCCTGTCAGATGCCTCCTAGCTGGCATCCAAAGCCCCTTGAAGCAGCAAACCGCTCTTTTCTCTAAGAGGTGCAGCCAACTCTACACAGTTTTGTGGCCCACACCCAGCCCTGAACCCTGCTATTTCATCTGCTCATCGGTTCATGGGTACTCGGATCACCCAAGCCCGAACCCGTTGAGCCACCCAGAAAGCCTCCTCGCTCAAAGCCAGGTACTGAAGCGGAACCCGAGGCATCCGAGCTTGCAATCTTTTTGACTCATTCGTGTTTGCTCTTCCTTTCCTGGGCTTGGGGGTTGAAGATTTGTGCTTCAGGCTGCTGGGCTTGGGCTGAGAGACAAAGCCCCTGCGCTTGCAGGTATCCCTTGGCAATGCTTGTACGGGGCGATACCCACAAGTCCATGCCCCCAGCTGTTTGGAGCTGCCGAGTCTTGCGAACATGTCCACTTTGAAAAGCGTTGTTATGACAGTTTCAGAGTCATGGGCTTTTGTTGGCCATGCTGCATTACACATGGGGTGGGTGGGTGGGTGGATGGGTGGGTCTATGCCGTCTTCTACTTCGCTACTCGTCGGTGGTTTCCTCCTGCAACTATAAGCTGTCGGTAGTTCCCCACTTTGGGGCCATCTCTGAATCATTTGGTTTCGAACTGTGTTCTTGTACAGCTGTTGCAGAAGGCACGACCAGAGCCGAGGTGCAATCAAGCCAGCAAGACAGCGCGCCACAGCGCGACGGCTGATTACACGGCGCTTCTGGACGGAGTTTCAGATGCCACATCTGGCATTCTGCCATCTAGAACCCTCGTGTTGTTCTGGGCTGCTTCTCTAGCGGGGGCTCTAGCACCGGTGTAGCAAGCCACTCCAGCGAGAAAGCTGAAACTATTTAGTTGTGCAATGCTGCTCAAAGCCTGTGAGCTTCTTCAGTGCTAAACTTGTTAGCCAAAGCTCGCTCAGACTTTGCAGGAGCTAGACTTCAGCTATCAGGCAATCTTGTGCAGGCACACCGGCGATCGAGGATTCAGGGTTGAGGGTGTATAGTGTATGGTATCGTTTACCCAGGTTGTCACTGTTTTGTGTCAACATGAATGAAGGGGCTCCAACATGAGTGGAAGCTAGATCGGTGCTGCAGCCCGGACAATTTTGTTTTCGAGGCCTGGTCGCATACTGGGGATTCACAATTCGGAGGGTAGTACGTGGAGGACGTTTAGAGCTCCAAAGGAGGTCGATTCTGAATGCTCTTGGAGGGCCTCTTGGGGATGTATGAAAGCTGCTTTGGAGCTTGCGGGAGTTTTTGTTTGCAACCTTCGTGTCTTGGGACAAATAGGACTTGAGCCCCTTGGTCTCATATCTCAAAGATTTAAGGTGTCGTGGGGGGTGGGGGGAGAGGGGCTCGCTCCCCCCCCCCTTTTGGTGTCATTCACAAGACTTGGTGGGGCCTCTGACTAGGGAATGGGTTTCTTGATTGGTGGAGGTGGGCGGTCCTCCCCGCCCCTTGCGATCTTGAACTTATGCTGACACATGCCCCTTTTGCCGCCCTGCTCTCAAGTTCTTGGACTGCACTTTCTTAGGGGAAAGCTCTTGGAATCTTCTTGGGCCCTGGGAGTGCTCTTCTCCGTGGGCTTTGGAGTGGTCTTTCTGGGGTCATAGTCCTCTTGGAGTGGTCTTGGAGGGCCATATCCACTGTTTGGGGTGTTCGGCTGGCATATGTTATTTTCGCTTATCTACTGGTTGTGTACATATATATATATATTATATGTATATATGTGTGCATGTATCACATATATATATATGTATATATATATATATCCTCCCATTCCAGGCCGTGTTTGAGGTTGATTGGGCACTTTTTTGCAGATTGCCCCCAATCTTTCAGAAAGCCCAAGCAAGCTAATGATGTCGGGCACTCAGGATGTGTACCTGTTGAGGCCCAATCTGTCCTGCAGGCATCCCCCCTGTGTGCCAGAGGCAATGAGCGTCTTAAGGGCACATTTCCCAACAGCAGAGCATGAGGTAGCGTCTTGATTATTGTGTGGGAGTAGATACCGGCGAGCGTATGCGGTGTCCTCTTTGGGGTACTTGTGATGCAGATGTCTTCCACGGTCTTTGTAACGATCGGAGGCAAGCGCCCAAGCCTGCCAACCACACTCGGGCCGACGAGCTGTGACCTGTGGCACGTTTCAAGTTACGGCGATCTCCCAAGCCCCCGTCTGCCTGAACCCCCCAAGCCTTATGTAAATCCGCGCCCATTGGGATGACGCAGTGGTGAGGGTGTGAATTGTCGAGGACAGACGCTAAAGCTCTAGGGCGGGGATTTTGGGCCAGATACCAAAGGATCTAAAGTACTCCAAGTCCTTGGCAGGCTGTTGAGCTTCCACCCCTTCTTGCAGATGCAGACGCCCAGACCCTATGCCTCATATGCCTTGTGCAGGCCAGGCCCTGCCCAGATGACGCTCAAATGCAAGGGCCGACACGGTCAATCATGATCACAGAACCTCCTCCGTGCGCACGAAGCGTGAGCAGGCGGAAAGACCCACTGGTGGTGGCCAGCCTTGTCCTCCTGGCCGCTGAAGCCTTAAGGGTCCGACATCCTTTGTGTTCGCCTCTCGGCTGGCTCAATGATCAGGTCACGAAGCTGCGCATCATGTCAACTTCTGGGAAGATGCTGCGGAGCGTGGCGAGCTTAAGACGCTGTCAAAGCCTCTTCAAGCCTCTGAAGGGAAGAATGTGAGAGCAGATGGTGTAACGGCCCAGCATGGTACGGTGAGGTTCAGCAGGCCTATGATGAGTTACTGGAGCAGAGGGCGCAGCTGCAGCGGAAGGCGTGATGTGCGTGATTTGAGGACTTTGTGAGGTGTGCTTCGTACTTCGTATTACTTCGTCTCCAAGAGCAGCCTGTTGCTCGACTGCAGGTGTATGGCCTCATGCTGACACAGCAGCCCTCGGCTTAGTTCCAAAGCAATGGGTTAGGATTCGCTCCGGCATGAACCGCTTGAGCACATACGACAGCCTTGGCAAGCGGGCTGTTTTTGCAGTCGTTTCTACTTTGCAGTTGCTCTGGTTGCGACGTCGCCGCTGACTAATTTAAACAAAAAGCAGCATGACCCCCGACGACAAGGCCTCCAAGCGTCGCCTGCTTTTGAAGGAGCGTCAGCGCTTGAAGGCGTCAGGGCCGGCGGGCGCGGCTGATTGCGGTTGCATCATTAGCATGTGGAGCTTCTCCCAGAGAGCCACTGTGTTTCGTTTTCAAATGTGGTCACTGAGGCGCTTGGCATCGCCTCTGGCGAACCAGGCCATCTCGATGAGCCTCAAAGTTGTAGACCTGGATTGACATGGCGCTCCAAGGATTGATTTGCTTCCGAGTGAAACGTTCGGTTGCGCTGTGTTTGGTTGCCTTCTCGGGCGCATTCTTGTGCCTGCTCCGCCAGGTCTATGGGCCGATAGATCCAGAGCACCCCTGCACTCGGCGGTACAGGATCGGACCTTACCAGCATGGCCCATCTGCCGTGGCCATGTCCGGTTTGTGGAAATTCTTACTCTAATTTCTGATACCCGGGTAGCCACGCAAGGGAGTTTGCCTGGGCAGGCGCTACTGGATGGAACATGCTCCCCGTAGAGCGCGTGCGCCGCAGGCTTCGCGCAACAGTTTCAGTTCAGCCTTGTGATATGCAGCTCTCCTTAGTGTCCTCCTTCATCCCACCTTCAAGTTAGGAGACTTTCTTGCCCTTAGTCATGTTGCACTTAGATGTCTGCAGGTTTCTGAGCCACCTCCAGTTCTTTCGCCCTCCTCGTCTCAGCGGCGACAGAAGGCTATGCTGCTGGCACGGCAACAAGTGGAGGGCACGCGCAGCCAGAAACTGCCACCCCCACCCATGCCAGACCCATCTGGTGACCTGGACAGAAGCTCGGCTTGACTCCCTAAAGATGAGTGCCGCTATAGTGCTGGTTTATCGTGTTCATGGCTATTCCTTCGACCACAATGTCTGCATGGTGTCTGGATGCCTGGTGTCTGGAGCCATGCCGCAGTAAGGACGACAAAAGTCGGCGACCACTTCGGTGCAGGACACACGGTGTGGGCCCATGATGGCCCATGTGGGCCCTACAGAGACTTCGCGACACCGGTGAATGAGTGCTTGAGAGTCCTAGAGAGTGGGGTTCTTATGTTGAGGGTATCGGGAATGTAGATCGCCATCCCTCAATGATCATGGTTAGGGAAGCAGCGATCAGCTTTCCATGCCAAGGCCAGGTACTCCATCATCGATGGTTCCAGAATCCCCACCGTCTCCAGCATCTCCGGCGTCGCCAGCCTCACCGGGTTCTTCGACATCCCCCGCCCCGCCGCCAAGAGCTGCTCCGCCGCCAAGAGCTGCTCCGCCTGCTGCTACTTCGGGGGCTGCCTGGCTAGAGAAGGCGCAGCCTTTGAGTGGCGTGTGCGGTGTTGGCTCTAAGTGCAGTCGTCAGTGCATTGTCGTCCAAGCAGGAAAGCTGCCACTACCAGGGACAGGTGCACCAACCTGGCAACGAAGGTGCAAGGGCCACTTGGCGGCAGGTGAGCTGCTTGGGGGTGTTCCGGAGAATCAAAGCTTATCGGGCTTACAGGGGCCTTGGGTCGGGGGGGGCGACTGTAGCAGGGTACTGGGGTGTCAGGTACGGGGGTACAGATTCAGGTATCCTGGACTCGAAGCCTCGGAAAGAAGCAAACGCACCACATTTTTTTGGGGAGGTTCACAGCAAGCCAGAGGCAGCTGAGCACCATGCAGGCCCGGCCGCTGCTGCAACTACCACGGTTCTTAAAGCTTAAACAGTCCGCATGGTCAATCAGTTGGATGGCACGCTTTCCAGGGGGTGCCAAGTGCCAAATCTCTGGATGTCTTAACCCCAGCCGAGCATGGGCACATCACGGATGAGTTCTGGTACCCAAAACGCAGGAAATCAAGAAGCAAGCACGCAAAAGTATGCTTCCTCCCAAGAAGCCAAGAAGGACCATACAGCCATCGTGACGTGGCGTAATGCAGTCTGCAACCCCCAAGAGCCGAATGCTTTGAAGGTGGAGTGGAGCCGCCGCAAATTCGGCGGCCGAGTTTAGAGGCTCCAACCCAGGGCTCGGGTGTTTAGCACTGAGGGATTGCAGGTATTGTTACCTTGTGCAGAGGATGGATGCCGCAGGGCCTTGGGCAACGCAAGCGTAGTCTGTTCCTTGACACCTCCCTTGCCCTAAGGAAGGCAAAGAAAGGCCCAGATGCGATGTGAGTGACAGAAATGCAAATATGAAAACAACGACATAGACCAATGAAAGTAGCACTAGCAGTGGCAATAGTCGTACTATCGCTAGTACAAACCACTCATACCGACAGAAATGCCAGTGCTAGAGTCGAATATTGTTACTGGTGCTTTTACTTTTTCTAATGCTCATGTTAAAATTTAAGAAGCATTTTATACAAGTGCGAATGCTACGACTCGGTGAGGTGCGACTGGCAGCCGCTGGGGTGCAACCAGACCTCAACAGACGGCAGGAGCAGCTCCAGGGCTCTTAAGGGTTTAGTGTCAGGGTAAAGTATTGGGGCTTCAAGTCTTTCTAGCTTGCAACTTGAGAAGAGTCCAAGAAAATCTGAAGCCGTACCATCGACAGGTAGTCAAGACGATGACTGCGATGGTTCTGGCGATGGTGATGATGACGACTCTGGCGACGATGATGAGGATGATGATGCTGTTGAGGAGGATGATGATGATGATTGGTGTGTTCCTGCATTGAGGGGTATTGGGTTCTGGCTGTGAAGGACGCGGAGGCGCCGCCCGCCTCCCAAAAGGCCTACGCAGGGTTCAGAATTTCCTGGGGGTTCGCACGGGCTTACCCGTGGCTCTTGGCATGGGTTGTGCTAAACACGCCTCCGCCTCCTTCAAGCCACAGGGTTGAGCTCTCAATGTGTAGGGTTGAGGGTCATATTAAAAGGGCTCTGTGGCGTTATCTGCTCAGCCCAAACTTGCCCCAGCAGCGTTCGGGCTGAGGGTTTTGGATCTGGTTGTGCTGTTCAGTGGATACAGCGAACTTCATCGCAGCCGTTTCTCAAGAGAAATGTGCATTCTAAGTCAGGCCTTGATGTAAGTTTAAGCTTCGAGACTCGGCCGCATTCAGAAAGGTCCTCTGTCGAACTGATGCTGTTGAGGATACAGCCCCAACATCGGACCTGCAGCAATATATTGGGAATATAGAAAACGCAGCCTCACCAATTGAGTGCAACCGCACGTGCTGGGTGCTGCATGTGCGGTGCTTCAGCAACGAGTGGCGAGTTGCTTAGGTTTACCTCGTCAGCGCCAAAGTGTTTGCTGCTGACCTGAGAATGCGCACCCAAACCGCGAGAAACAGAAAACACATGAACAAAGCAGTTCTTGAGCAGAGAGGCTTGGGCCTCAGCCGCTGCTAGGTTTAAGGACCGTCCCCTCCCCCCCGCTTTCCACACTTCAAGGACGGCTGCAGCAAGCATGTGGCCGGCGTGGTATGCTGGAGACTCAGCCGAGGGGTGCGATTCTTCACGTGAAGCTGACTCTCGGAGATGTGCGAACGAAGCCTCTCTGCGGTAGGTTGGTGCCCTCCTCCTTGTTCCAGAGCACGTCATTGCCTACTCGCGTGAGGCCGCTTCTTGGCTGCAACTGTTATGCGGGGGCCATTGGCCTATCGGCCTCAGAGTTACCGAGGACGCGCGAACAATGGCGGTCGACAGCAGGGGCGCCGGCCACTTGATGCGATCCCAGAGTGCAGGCCCTTTCTGACCCTTTACTTCCTTTTGCCTTTGAGAGCCTCTTTTTTTTTTCTCCTCTCTCCAGTCATGGCAAATGTAGAGAGGAAGCTTACTAATACGAGTGCAGGCAGCCCTGACGTGCCATGACCCTGCCAGGCACGGTCACCGCCGCAAACCCCTACACCAAGCAGAAAGGCTGGCTGCACCTGTTTCAACGAAATTCCTTGCACAGCTGTGCTGGTCATATCAGTTCGAAGTTCTCCAAGCCTCAGATCACAATTTAACGGGACTCGAACGTATCTTTGTCCGTAGGTGTGGATGGCCCGCCGGGGGCACCCAATGACATCGTGACAATGGGGATGCCGGGCTTTGCACCAGCGCAACTGGTTGGCACTGGATTTTCTGCGCCGAGGCATGTCCCGCTGAGCAGCAGCCGTTGCGGTGCAGTTTCTCGCATCGGTTGAATGGCCGAGCAGTTCCAGTCAGTCTAGCGTCTTTTTGATTCTTCAGGGACACAAGGGCTGCGGCGACATGAGGCCAGCAACGGGCCACGCCACAAAGCTCTCGCCGGCAAGGCCTTGCTTGAACAGCCGGTGCTGTTCGATACAATCCTTTTCGATGCTTACGGCTGATGCTTGCAGCTGAGTGGTGTCGAAAGGTTGGCCGGGCTTATTTCTGCCGCCACTATGGCCTGACCCTCAGTCGTTGGTGCAGTGCTCGGGCACACAAGCTGCTGATGGTGAGATGACATTATGATGCAAGCTTATGTGGTGGAGCGCAAGGTCGTGTGCGGACTCTTGAGCGCGCTGCTCTACAGGACCGCGTGCGGCACCAGGAGCAAATGCCTTTGAAAACCCGATGACTCCAAGCCCTGAGGTATATCAAGGCATGGCCGAAGGCGTCCAGCGAGACGCGTCTTCGCTGCATTTGGGCATGCAACGCAAGTTGGCTTCCAAATCGACTTAGTAGCACCCACTTCCCAGACCCTGCCCGCCGGTCTTCAATTCTGGCCCCAAATCTGTGCCAACCCAAGCCCAAGAAGCCTTGGGAGCCTGTGAGGGCCGACCTGACGAAGTGGTCTTCCGACTATTTCGGGTGCTTCTCAGATCTTCCGTCGTGCTGCTGGGCCTGCTGGTGCCCATGCATCCGGTGGGGAGCAACTTGCCTGGGCTGTGGGGACGATCTGAGGATTGGGTTGGGGTTTTGGCTTTCCG